TTATGGGTCAAAAGGCAGGTTCTTACCTTAGAATCTGTCTTCTTAAGAGTGTAAACAATGAGTACTGCCGCTGTTTAGGAGAATCCAGTGGCTGATAAATCAATGCAGTTTCATAAAATTGCGGGCATGGTATTATCCACTTGTAAACGAATAGAATAAAATTAGTAACATTTAATTCACTTTTTTTTATCATCTTTAATGACAGTAATCCATACAGAGTGTGCAAAAATTTAATGCTAGCACCAAGTTCAAAACCGCTGACTCCGCGAGTTGGACTAATCGCATCGTACACAAAGCGGTCCCCGCGGAACGCATATTAGCGCCTACAAGACTGTAGGAATACTTCTCGCATTGCGTATCCACTGCTGTGCGCGCATTCTTCGTTGAAAATTCGTAATCTCTTGTAAGTGCCGGACATTGCGTCGATGAGCAGCTGAAATGCTAAAAACTCTTTAAAATTTTTGCGAACAGTAACAGCATATTTGTATCCCAAGTGAATTGAGAATTGAAGCATTCGTTTACAGAAATAAATGAGATGAATCGTGTAAATGAAAATCACTGTAGTTTTAATTTCACCTCTTTAAAGAGGGCATTCGTTGTTTAAAAAAAAAAAAAATTGATAGAACGGACCCCATCCAATTTAAGAAAATTTTTGACTTGTACAACCTTCCGGACGTTTACTTTTTCATACGTAAGTATTTTTTATTTCGACTTTATTTATGTTTCAAAACAGGACAGCTTGACCAAGCTTTAAGATTTACTAAGATATGAATTTTAACGTCAATTTATGCATGCCAGTTTAGAACAAATTCCTCGACTGTGGCTCTGTGTTTAGTTACTCAGGCTAAAAGGGCATTTTAAAAATTGTTGATTTTTTAAAAAAAAAAAAAAATTAAATTATGTACAGGTACAATAATTGAATATCGCATGTTTAATACATAAATGTTACTTAAATCATGAAAGTCTCACGGATTTTGTTGATTGTTGAAATTGGATTTATTTACAAAACTTAACAACTACGTACTACACGATTTACTTATAAACTTGAAAGAATTCATCGAGAAGTGTGAGAAGGCATTTGATTTCTGAAACTATGTCTAATTTCAAAATAATTTGTCTCGCATTTTCTACTGTCTGTCTATTTTGAAACGATTTTTTGTAAAATATTCATTTCTTGGTATGCGATTACTTTTATCCGACTCCTGAAATAAAATGCCAGAGTAAATCGTTGTAATTCCTCGCAAAGGATTCATTTCCAAAGTTAAACTGTTCAATGTCACCCGATGCTCGCAAAAACTGTCAAAACTGATGCAAAAACTGATGCTATGAACTCAAGCTCTCTTTGAATCTTTATAAATCACAGCTCAAACCGTATCGATGACTAAAGTAAGACACCGCACATATTTCTACTACGGCGCACAGTGGAACGAATTAATATATGAAGTCGGACGTGAAATTTTGGGCTAAAATTTCAAATTTTTATGTTTATTTAGTGACAAATTCAGTTTCAAAGGATCTCTCCGAAAGGTAATTTCAAGGAGAAACTGATAGTACGACACTTAAACTTATTTGTTTCACATTCTCGAAAATAGGTATAGGCTTTCAAAGTCTCCAGAATTTGTCCGACTTCCTCTATTGAATCGGCCCAGAGTGCGGCGTTTCAAAATATCCACCCCTGGTTTATTTTTTCGAGGAGGGTTCCGAAACGGTTTTAGGACATTTTGTCAAGGATTCTTTGTTCGCGCACCTTTTTTGTCCAGTAGTTTACGCCCACGCGTAAAATAAGCAACAGTGACTTGGTCCAATAAGCGTCAGTATATGAGAAACTGAGAGAGAAAGAGGTGTTGTTATGGTTGCTCATTTTCTAAATGAAATGTTATTACTTTATCCTTTTGAATCATCTTTTTTCGTTGTCATTGGTGAATATTTGGTTTTATTTCTATCGTTAAAATATTCGATGTACAATATACCTCATATATGTATAGGTACTTTTTTCTTAATTTTTTAATTTTTTCTTTACGAATACTAGTACTTCATTGTGAAGACATTTATATTTTTAAAACGTGGCAAATATTTGTAAACCCTTTTCCAAGCGACATCAATCTCAATGAGCTTGTTGCCGCAGCCGCAGTTGTGCCGACAGAAACTGCAAAAATGAATCAAAGAGGGGAAAAAACCAAAAAGCACGCAATCTTTAGCTTTAACCCATTTGTACGTCGATTTTTTAGAGTCAAATACGTCAAATTTTGAGCGTTTGGTTGCGCGTACACTTCGCTGCAGCACAATAAAAGCACAAAATGTAAAAGAAAAAAAAAATTAAAGTGCTTTTGAAATCATTAAATCTGACACGGGGCCACCAATATTTAAAAAACACACATTATATTATTATTCTCCTTTGATAAATTGACACATATTTTTTCCCATCAATTTAAATGAGAATAATTAATGCAGAGTGTGCAAACATTTCAGAATCATGAGTTAAAAAACGCTGACTATGCTAGTATAAATATTAAAGCCTAACAGAGCGGAGCGGCGCGCGGCGTGCTGCCAACGCAAGAGGCTCACTGGCGCCTACAAACCTAACTGGATACTTCACACATTGCACAATGCTTGAAGTATCCACTTAGGTTTGTAGGCGCCAATGCGCGTTCCGCGCTGGCTGCTCGCCCGCCGCGCCGTGCGGCGGCGCTTGAAGCAACTATTTCACAACAGAGGTGTTGCACATTATTATACGAAATTGAACGTATGAAGACTGACAGGCATCCTATAAAAGTACAGACCTTTCCTTGCAAAATAAATCAAGATACTTATCGTACACAGGATAAATCTAAGAGCCTTTAGCTGAGGCAAATATAGAGGTTTATGCGGTTCAGGTATAACAAGGTGGGAAATTCTTGAAAGATAATTAAGTCCTGTTACACCAAAGAGGTGTAGAGAGTTTTAGTGAATTTTGTCTCATGGAATTGACGCTCCCCCATTTTTACCAAAACTCTCAACTACCTATATATTATTCTCCGTTGAACAAAACAGACAAAACAAAAAAAAAAACAAAAAAAAAACAAGCAAACCCTCATCCTCCAAGACATTATACACTTTCATCCAAAAACGTCGTGAGCAATTGTCGTTTGAATTTACATGTTGGCCAATTAACTTTGGGTCTCAACTGGCACGCGGGCCAAAACTCCCTTGCCGAAAAAACGCGTGGACGTAAATTACTGGAAAAAGCAGGTGCGCGGACAAAAAATCGTTGACGAAATGTCCTATAACCTAAGAAACTTTATAACTTGAAATGTCTGCCTAATTTTCTACCAACAGGGAAGAAAAAACGAGGAAGTTTTCAAGTAGTTACGTTGAATAGCTTTCCGAGGAAAAAATAAAGTATGACTGGAAGCTTACAACATCGCAAATGGGGCATCGTGGTCTCGCACTTCAGCCATCGATATGGGACTGCGCCGCTTTCGAAAGTTGACAGCACTATTTTTCCTCCCATTTAAATTCTTTTAAAAATATCGATATTAGGTGAAACAAATTTGCCTCGCCAAGAACAGATTGTTATATATACATTCAAATGCAGGAAATACCGTGTTGCCAACTTTCAAGAATCGCCATTGATATGCGACGTCTTAGGAGGAAGAGCTGTCTAAAGAATAACTTTGAACCCAACTCTTAGGACGAACAAGAGAGTTAGTGCGCAAAACAGAGACATGGTTTGTCTATGAAGCGGACAGCGGGCTGATTGTTCAAATTTATAGATAAAACGATAGACAAAGAGTATATATAAAGTACAGACTGATCTTATAGATGAAAATTAATGGTTCTTAAATATTAAATACTGAGGGAGAAATTGATGGCCTAACGGAAGGGTCTCTCGTGGGTTACCGTAAGTTAGTCCATCACCTACATCTTTTGTCCATTGCAACCACCCGCTTCTACCAATAGAATCCCTTTTGTCTTCTTTATCTATAGCTTTGTCTATCAATTTCAACAATCAGGTTGCAGGGATGGTAGCCTCTTCTGCCGTGATAGCGAAGTGAGCAGTAAGGGTCAAATTTTCGAAATCGAGTTTCCTTCAAAATTCGTCGAATCTCTTTTAGATGAAATCACTGAAATAACTAAAACAGCAAAATTCATCTTAATTCTATCAAAACGAGACATGTGAGAAAGCCGCAAGTGCGCAAAAAATGACGTATTTTCGGACAAAACAGCAGTAAGTGACAATTTTCCTCCAGAGAGTCAATGAAAACAGTGCTTTCAAGTAAAGTGTCGCCCTCTCCTGCCAATTTCTAACCTGAAAATGTGTTTGATGTTTGTTCGAGGCGCAACCTCGAAAACATGGAGTAGATAGCACTTCCGGCTGTATTGCCTAGCAATAACCCAGCATGTGTTTCATATTCATGCTGCGTGAATATGAAAAATACCCTTTTTATGTAATTGAAAGAAGATCAATTGATTTTTAACCATCCGAACAGTTTTTAAGAGTCCCTCAGCCGACTGATGATAATGGAGATGTTGCATATGTGAGGAATTTGCGATTTGATTGTTGATTCTTATGTAAAAGTTCGCGAGAAACACGATGGTGACACTGATTTTCTCTGAAATCAACTCCCAAGCTCAAACAAATAAGCTCTCAAGTTGAGGCCAAAATGGAGGGGATATCCCACGCTATCCCGAGAGTCCACCTCTACATCAAGACAAACTCTCCATGCTGAGATAGAGAGCAAATACATTAGCAGGATTGCCGTGTTTTCAGTTTTAGAGTCCCCAAATAAAGTGGCAGCCCTGTCAATGAATTTGCTCCCTATCTTTGCATGGAGAGTTTGTTTTGATGTAGAGGTGAACTCTCAGAATAGTGCAGAATATCCCCTCCAATTTGGCCTCAACTTGAGAGCTTTTTTTGAGCTTGGATGTTGATTTCAGAGAAAACCATAGTGGCACCATCGTCTTTCTCGCAAACTTTTACATGAGAATCAATAGTCAAATCGCAAATTCCTCACACATGCAAAATCTCCATTGGAGAAAGAACGGAGGCTTCTCTCAATAACAGTTTCCGGTCAGATGCTTCTGAGCTCGTTTTCTCAAAACTCCATTCTTGCACTCACTGCTCACTTCGCTATCACGGCAGTCTCGCCCCATTCGTTTCCGCTAAGAACCCTCGAGGCTAAAAGGCAGCGAGGAAGGAGCGGTCGAGCATCTTGAACGTCTGGAGAACCTCCTCGTTGGTGCGGCAGCCGTCGGCCCCGCACTGGGCCTCGGAGATCTCGTTGAGGAGGCAGATGCGGTCGATGAGGGGCTTGCAGCGCTTGGAGTCGGGCGGGACCCGGGGCATGTAGACGGCGCCACCGAAGGGGAGCCCGGCCCGGTGGGTGGCCCGGAAGGAGTTGCCCTCGGCGAGGACGGTGGCGTCGCCCTGGGCGTAGACCATGGCCTCCATCGAGGAGTTGACGAACGTGTTGCAGATGAGGTGGATGATCGCCGACGACGGCGTCGAAGTGCTGAAGCCCGAGCCCAGGGCGTTGACCACCCGGTTCTTGTAGAACGTCACCCGGTCGTGGTACGAGTCCACCAACCTGGAATGAAGAATTCGAACACAACAATTTTATCGCTTCATCTGGATTGCATTTTGCAAAAAGGAACCACTAGCATTGCAATGATGCTAAGATTGTGCAACTTCATCCTTGCGGAAATCGTGAAAAACTATGAAATTTAGATGGTAATTTTTGTCTTAAAAGTTTTTAGCGAGTAAAATAGAAACCATTAATGGATAATCGGGTTTTTCCTACAAGACAAAAGAAGTAGCACATTCTTAGCAACATTGCAATGCTAGTGGTTCCTTTTTGCAAAGTGCAATCCATCTGAGAGTGCCTAATGAGCTGAGTTCGCAGTATTTTTCATATTTTTCTTCTAACATGGGAAATTGGAGAAAAATATACTTAAAAGTGAGAAAATGTGACGTCATCTGGCGGCATTTTCCATTTAAACACATGAATTTTAACAGTTTCGGTTATTTTGTCATATTTTCTCAAATAATTGTTCAATTCAGAAATCAAGGATATCCTCGTGCTCAGTTTTCCTAGCAGTATCATTTTAAAGATGATATTCGCAAAATTTAAGACACCTGCGAATTCTCCATTGCGACGTTTTCCATCAGAATTGGGCGTATTTTTGCTGAAAGGAAACGTGTGCACAGAGCTTACATATCGCCGGCAAATAATCAAAATTTGCATTTTGTCAAATGCCTGGACAAATAGTAAAGTAATCTCAATTAAAATTTAGGTTCTTTTGATGAATAATTCTTTACTCGTGTTGAAAAAAATTAAATGTAAAAATGTGCATCATACAACGGCATCTGTCAAGATTTCTAGCTCTTAAACTAAGATTCATCTCAAAGTGTACAAAATTTCATCAAATACAAAATTTCTTAAATTTTCTAAATCACCTGAGTTAAGTGTTCCATTTCATCCCAGCTTCATCGGTTTGTCAAACCAAATTTCCCATTCGTCAGATCGAACTTTCGGTTCTTGCAACCAAACTTCAGCTGTAAAGTGAACTGACGAACAAAGTTCGGTCACATGAACCAAAATTTTAGTTTGACGAACCGAAAGTTCAGTTTTACAAACCGAAAGTTCAGTTCAACCAACCGGAAGTTCAGTTTGCCAAACCGAATAGGATGATATGGAAAACCGAACGTTTGGTTCCTATGACCGAACTTTTTTGCTCAGTGAACGAAAGAATACTGACCAGAGGAAGAAGTGGTAGTCTCCACAGGAGGGTATGTACTCTTCTGCCCCGTAGAAGAGGGAGTTGGAAACGGTGAGGGCGTTCTGGCGGCCTCATATGAATCGAAAGTTCAGTTTGACCAACTGGAAGTTCAGTTTGACAAACCGAATAGTTAGGATGATATGGAAAACCGAACGTATGGTTCCTATGACCACCTTTTTTTTTTTCAGCTAGCGAAAGAATACTAACCAGAGGAAGAAGTGGTAGTCTCCGCAGGAGGGAATGTACTCATCAGCCCCGTAGAAGAGGGAGTTGGAGACGGTGAAGGCGTTCTGGCGGCCGCGGGTGCGGACGAAGATGCCGGTCTCGCGGACGGTGCAGTTGTCGATGAAGACGCGGGTGGAGTTGTCGACGGTGAAGGCGGCGCCGGCGAAGGCGACGCGGGGGTTGATGGCGTCGATGAAGATCCCCGAGACGAAGACGTTGCTCACGCCGCGGAAGAGGAGCCCGCTCCCGACGATGGTCCCGCCGCCGCGGAGCGTCTTGTTCGAGCCCACCAGGAGCGGCGCCACGCCCGCGTGCGAGTAGGCCACCTGCACCATCGGACGCCCGCGGCACGAGTCGTACCTGGTGGACATTCGTAGCAGAGGCGAATCTTGCAATTTGGCAACACCGGCTTTCTTCCATTCAAACCTTTGCTTAGTAATCGATTATTGTCGAAGCATATGACCCCTCCAAGGATCGATACATTTCCATTGATTTAAATGGAAAAAAGACAATGTTGCGAATTTGCTGGATACGCCAATGATTCGCAGGAAATTAATAAAGCGAATTGAGAATGGAGTTGTTGCATGTGTGAGGAATTTGCGATTTGACTGTTGCTTCTTATGTAAAAGTTGGCGAGAAACACGATGGTGCCACTGGTTTTCTCTGAAATCAACTCCCAAGCTCAAAAAAGCTTTCAAGTTGAGGCCAAAATGGAGGGGATATCCCACGCTACCCTGAGAGTCCACCTCTACATCAAGACAAAACTCTCCATGCAAAGATAGGGAGCAAATACATACACAGGGTTGCCACTTTATTTGGGACTCTTAAACTGAAAGGACGGCATCCCTGCTAACGTATTTGCTCCCTATCTTTGCATGGAGAGTTTGTCTTTCTGTAGAGGTGGACTCTCAGGATAGCGTGGGATATCCCCTCCATTTCGGCCTCAACTTAAGAGCTTTTTTTGAGCTTGGGAGTTGATTTCAGACTATTGATTCTTATGTAAAAGTTCGCGAGAAACACGATGGTGCCACTGGTTTTCTCTGAAATCAACTCCCATGCTCAAAAAAAGCTCTCAAGTTGAGGCCAAAATGGAGGGGATATCCCACCCTACCATGAGAGTCCACTTCTACATCAAGACAAACTCTCCATGCAAAGATAGGGAGCAAATACATTAGCAGGGTTGCCGTGTTATCAGTTTTGGAGTCCCCAAATAAAGTGGCAGCCCTGTCAATGTATTTGCTCCCTATATGTGCATGGAGAGTTTGTCTTGATGTAGAAGTGGACTCTCAGGGTAGGGCGGGATATCCCCACCATTTTGGCCTCAACTTGAGAGCTTTTTTTGAGCTTGGGAGTTGATTTCAGAGAAAACCAGTGGCACCTTCGTGTTTCTCGCGAATTTTTACATAAGAATCATCAGTCAAATTGCAATTATTCCTCACACATGCAACATCTCCATTGAGAATTTGCATGCAAAATTTTGATTGCTCCATCTGAAAGTGCTTAAAGAGCTGATTTCGCGGTATTTCCTATAATTTTTTTCTGATATGGGAAATAGTATAAAATAAATTTAAAAGTGAGAAAATGTACCGCCTAGTGACGTCATCTGGCGGCATTTTCCGTTTAAACACACGTATTTTAGCAGATTAGATCATTTTGTCATATCTTCTCTAATAATTGTTCAATTCATGAACCAAGGGTATCCTCGTGTTCAGTTTTATCAGTAGTTTCCACTTCACCACGAAATCCATCAAATTTCAGACACCTGTAAAATCTCTATTTTATATGAAGTTCCGAACCTCTATGGGAGGTTCTGTTCTTGTTTCTGCTGGTCTCACCAATCACCAACACCAGTGGACACCGTCGTTACCAGATTTGACCAACCAGATCCGTCGGTTTTCGATAGGTCGAACCTTTTTTAGGACCAGATGTATGTATGACACAGCTAGGACGATGTATTTCACGTGATTTTGGAGATTCCTAGGGGTGCAAAAACTGTCATAGTGTTGTGCGTTTCCCGCGTTATTTTTTGTGACTTTTGAACGAATCCAACGAACCTACCTATTGAGGATATGCCTCTTGATGACGGTGCACTCGGGGTGCTTGACGGCATCGTTGTCGCAGCCGGGCTCGGTGACGATGCCGTCTTGGGTGGTGAAGTCGACCTCGTCCTGGAGGATGACGTTGCGGGGCGCGGCGTCGAGGCAGTAGCCGTCCTTGACCCTGTTGCAGAGGGCCCGCGCCAGCTCCTCCTTCGTGAACACCTCGACCGTCTCGCCGGACTCCCCGCCGCGGGCGTCCCCGCCGAACCCGTAGCCGCTCCCGTACTTCCGCTTCGTCTCCGCCTTGGCGTACAGGAACGACGCCGACGCCGCGTGGGCCCCCACCTGCGAGCAGGACAGGCTCAGCAGGATCGTCGCCAGAGGGAGCAGCCGGCTCATCGTCGAGCGCATCCCGCTGATGTTGATACCGGATCTGGAAACAGAAGTAAGTTTGCAGAGTGCAACGAAATGTAGGGACTATGAAACCAAGGTACCTACACTCTACTACAGGTATGGACAAACGGGGTACCGAAGTGGCAGCGCTGAGAGTATAGGCCGTCGAGTGACGTCGCAAGTCGTACCGTCTTTGCCGCGCAGTTCAAAATGAGGTTCTGGCAGATCTGGTAGCTTCAGTAAGCTATCAGATGACTTTAAAAAAATTGATAAAACTCAAAATAACGAAAAACTTAACCAAGAACAAGAAAATTAACACGGAATTGACGAGACCCACTCTCAGAGCAGAAAGTAAATAAGTTTTCAATATGGCGTCGCAGTCGCACCATTGGACACTGTCAAGTCAAATCTATACGCGTTTCGACGACTTTCTAAAATTCCATTTGTTCATACCTGTAGTAGAAGTAGAGTGTACCTTGGTGATCGTTCGGAAGATAGGCTTATTAGTGGCGTTGCGTAAATGGTCGACTATCGATATTTCCTCATTTGAAGCCGTGGTTAAGAATAAATCAATACGGTGTTCTTTGCGAACATCTTGTTAATCAATCCTTCTCTGTAGGTTTAAATGGCAGATCAATCGATATATTGAAAAGCACGTCAAGCCACTGAAGCATATGATATGTGGCGTTTGGGTGGCGGGAAGCGAATGGGACGTCAATATCATCCGGTGGAAGATCGGCACAACCGCACGGATCTCTTTCTAAGATGGGGGGTGCACGAGAGAGGAGAGGCACCGGCGCGCGGCGCAGAGCGGAGCGTGAGCATTGGGTTCGGAGACGAGTGCGGACCGCGCTCGCGGAGGGAACACAGCAGAGAGAAAAGGGAGGGGAAAAGAACGAGAGGAGAGCCGCTCATCAGTCCAGCTGTTTCCTATAGCAGTGGTCCGCAGGGGTTTGCGAACCGCCGAATTTCCTCTATGCCGCGATTCGCCCTCCGCTTCCCCCCTGCGCCTGCGGGCCGCATCTCCCAGTTTCCCAGTCTCCCTCTCCCACCTCTCTCTGCAGGTGCGTGTTGCGAAAATACGTTATCATTTAACAAAATAAATTACAGGAAAACGATCGGTAAAAAGAACAAAATTTCAATGACAATTTACCGGCACAATTTTCACCAAAAAGGGTTAAAATCGTGTTCTTGCGGCTTCATGTTTTAAAAAGTTTCCGGGAAAGGCCCCCCGAACCCCCCCTTTAAGGAAGGGGAGTGAACCTTTCTGACCCCCCCCCCCCCTAAAGTTAAAACTCCTACCGAACGCCTACCGGATATAGTCACGCCACGCCACTGCTGCCGCAGTAACATATGAGGGATAGGATAGAGGATTTGATATTATGCTCGCAATATTGGATCATTTGGTTCGATTGGCGCAACGACGTATTGATTTCAAAACGTCTTGACGCTTATTGTATGGGAGCCGCTTGAAAAAATTTAGAATCCGCTACTAGTGCATCTTTACCTACTTTCCCCGTGACCTAGTTTCACAGGCTCTGGTTTTGTGATTATTATCAATTGGACAACACGTTGCAACTGGAAACCACATTTCCTGGCTCATCTCACAAACAACGTATGAGCCAGTACTTTTTTTATGCAGATTGGTGCTTTTGCGGATGAGTCAGGAATAGCAGTAGCTCCTGATTTTAAAATGTAGCCCAATTGTCAGATTAGGACGCACTAGAAATTGGAAGGAACAGAAGCAGGAAAAAATAGACATAACAGGAATAGGTTAAATGAAGAGAGGAAGAAGAAGGATGATGAGGAAACGAGGAAAAAGTAATGTGAGAACGAAGACATAAGGAAAGAGGAGGGAGGAAAATACGAAAACGATGAAAAGAAAAAAGAGGAAAAAGTAAAAGAAGAAGAAGAGTGGAGGAAAGAAAATCTTTTCTTCGTCTGTTTCTTCCTCTATTCCTCCTCTTTTTTCTCTTTCCTACTTTTTCTCTTCTTTTTCTTCACTTTCATATTCCACTACAATGAAGACTCAGGTCTAAAAGAAAGAAGGCAGACTGAGGCCGAGTTTAAATAATTATTATATCTGGGTTAATAGAAATCAAAATTATTGGAATAATGTGTATGGTAATATGTGTATGGTGTAGTATGGTAGTATATTTATTTTTTGAGTTGAAACTTCTAATTTTCATGTTTGATTTTTTTTTAAAAATTTTGTGAATTGTGGTATAAAATATGAAAATCTCATCTAGTGAGCTTGAAAATATGAATATTATTATTATAATTATTGTAATAGTGCTTGATCAGTTGACGAAAGTTTGTCTTTACAAAAACAAATGCCACCCGCTTACTGAGGAAGGTAGAGAATAAGGAAAGGGAGAAGAGGAAACGAGAGTCAAAAACAGACGACGAGAATCATTTCATTCACTGATGAATTGACTGAAAATTTCATGAAACGGACGAGAAAATAGATAGTAACAGTCAATAAGATAAACACTCGATGAAATACAAATATAATGCCTCATGTTTTCCTTATTTGTTTCTCCTGAAACGACATGACCGGCCCTGGGGCTCTTCCAGCCCACTGATAATCTTCTCGATGTCCCGTTGGACAACCTGTGACCGCCCTCAGATGGAAAAATGAAGAAAAGTGAATGAACAAATTTCAGTATTTTTGAATGCCTGGTGAAAATATTCTCAAGGTATACATCCCTAATAACATGTAATCAATTTTGAGAATGCTTTGATCTGGGTCAACTCCCGAACCTGCGCTCAGCAGTACGAGCCTTTGAAAAAGGTTGGACATAAATTTAAAAAAACAATTGCAAAATTTGATGTTTATTTTGTCAAGTGAATCCACTGAAACTCGAGGGAAAATTTCCTGTCTTTCTAGATAGAACATACAGATCAGTCATACAAAAGGAAGTGCGGGCAGAATACGCAATTTAACCAGGAAAACCTCGATCTGATGAGACATGACCTAGAGGATTGTATATTTTCCAGCAAAAAAAGAAAGGTCAATATTAATCTGAGCAAAAATATCGATCAAAGTCTGTTCAAAACTAATTCAAAAGTTTAAATTCAATAACTGCATTACGTTGTTTACATTGGCTCCTAAGAGTTGGATAAAAGCCGAAACTCGTTGATGAATCAGAAAAGGACACATTAATTCTTCACTAAAACTAAAAGGATTGAGATGCCGTGTGCTCTCCTACCAGCCGTACTCTATGTATAACACCTCTAATTGGCGGAAACCAGTTATATCCGAAGTATTGTCACTGCTTGAGGTGAAACAAAAATGGTGTTTCACTTTCAATTTAGATGAACTAATGTCTAAGAGAATCAGGTTCTTAGTAGTTACGCACCACAACACGCAATTTTCAAGCGAGCAACTATTCGAACTCCGGAGTAGATATGTGGTATCACTCGAACTTGAAGGAAAATCTTAGCTTTTCGCGTAGCTCAAGTCATGGACGTTTACGAGTATTATGCTCGCATCGATCTATAAAAATTGACTATTTCCCGCGATATTGAGGTGAAAATTGTGTGTTCTTAATCAACCTATGGAAAATTTGTGTATGTGTCGCAATATTGCGGTGATTATTGCATACTTTCTTTTGAGTTATCGAACCCACTGGAAATCCCTTAAATCCCTCGATATTGAGATTAAACTCGAATGATTTCTCACTTTTTCACACGCAAAAGTCAAACGAGCAACTAATTGAACCGAATGAGGTACCTATGAGGAGAAATCTTAGCTTTTCGCCTATATCTCAAGTTACTGACGTTTATGAATATTATGCTTGCATCGTTTTAAAAATCGGGTATTTTCCTCGAAATTGAGGTGAAAATTGTGTGTTCTTTTGTGTTCTCAATCAACCGTACATTCCTCGAGGAAACTTTACTTGTATCGGGAAACAGTTGGGCACTTGTAACTTCTCCGTCCATTTGTATCCATGTTCTGTTCTGCCGTGCTACGGAATAACGCCGTATGAGCCTTCAGCCGTCGCCAAGTTTTCTTCTTTAAAAAACGAAGTTACCGGGAAAATTTTGAATATTTTTCTTCAAATTTTCTGGACGATTTTTTTCGCAGGCTGACCTAAAACATCGGACAATTTCAAGGAAGAATATGAAAATACAACTCAAAAATACATATTTTTACGGGAAAATTTGAACGTTTCTACGGCGTTTTTCCTAAGCACGACAGTGCTGCCCTGCGATGCGCTTCATAAAACACTTCACAGAAATCCAAATTAATACTTGGAAGTGATTTCCGCGTGCAGGACGGCAATTCCGCCTTGCTTGAGGCACATTGCTCGCACATGATGTGGACAGCGACGATGAATAACTTTCCTCAAAAACACATGTTTTTTACGGGAAAATTTGAATGTTTCTACGGCCTTTTTCCCAAGCACGGCAGTACCGCCCTGCGATGCGCTTCATAAAACCCTTCACAGAAATCCAAATTAATACTTGGAAGCTGTTGCGTCACCGTTACCATAGAAATGCAGTTTTTGACCATCTTTTGAGTGTGCATCAGAGGGGTAGCTTGAGTGGTTTTTGATTGTCCTTGCTTCGTACATTTCTACTTTATCATCCCTCTGGAGTCAAGATATCCTCAGCCTGTTATGTTCAGTATTTGTCATTTCAGTATCTGCCATTAAACTACGTGTGTTCTGTAAGTCAATTGCATTATTTTTTATGGTATTATTGCACTAAAGCTCATGTTTTTAGCATGAGATTGGAAGGGGAGATAACCTCATCTTTTTGGAATAAAACATGGAGAAACAGAAGCGATTTCCGCGTACAGGACGGCAATTCCGCCTTGCTTGAGGCGCATTGCTCGCACATGATGCGGACAGCGACTCCGTAATTCGACCTGCGGAGCGGGCAATCGACACATACCGATGCCCGTAGCCCGTTCTACGGGTCCTATTCAACCGCCGCGCGTCGCGGCGTCGTCGGCCAGGGCAGCCCGAGAGAGATTTCAGGAGTTGGCAAAAACTGTCACGGGATTCCTGGAGGGGCTATATGAAAATGCAGCACAAGGGAGCCCTCGCAATTTCAGAGGCACACACATTCCGATGCGCTTTGAACCATCTAAACTGAAATATGAGCCTTGTCACGAATGTATTCTGATGAGTCTTAGAGCCCATATCATAATTGAGATGGTTCCTTTTGATTTATGAATGGGTTCATTTGAATGGAAAGTGCGTTCGGACCGGCGGGCTTTTGCTCGGCCTTAAATTGGAGCGCTCAAAGAGATCCCGATGCAATGCACGCTCATGACTTGAGTTTTATGAATTTCGTGTAATTTCGATCCTTTTGCGTTGTTACAATAAAACGGAAAAACGGAGTTTACAGATTGTGAAAATCCCGAAACGTGTATCTCCGTTGTGGAGTATCAAACGCTCTGTTGTTCAAATAATTAGGCAAATCGAGGAAAACAAATCTCGGTTATGAAGACTTGTTTTTTATTATGATTTTTTTTATTCGTAATAGAAGTGTAATTATATTACATCATATTTTCAGACCTTACGAGTCGTGAATTTTTTTTCCTTATCATGCAATGGGCAATGTTACAATAATTAACCACTCTGATCAGATTTAAAAAAAAAGCTTTGTAAATACTGGTTTTAAGGCTTCCGGTGCTGATTTATAAGTACACCACTTAAACATCGTTAAATGTATTATTTTATCTCTCTACTTTGTTGGGTTGACACTCAGGGAAACGCAAAAGTTTTTGATTTAGATGGCTGAAGTTTTTCAATCGTGCAAACCAAACCTCAGTTTAGATTAACGAGGTCCTAGATAAAATAATGCGAGCCTTATTATGGTCAACCGAAGCTTAGTTTATCTGCTCTGAAAACTTCAATGTTCCATACGTACCGAATTTTTACTCAAAGTGGTATGTGCAACATAGCATGCAATCTTTTGAAAGGTTAGGTATTATTAATTGATTGAAATAGACTCGGGGAATCAGCCAAATTAAAGTTAAAACGATCGAGATAAAGAAATCGATTTTTTTCGGAACACGTGTCGCCTCCGGAACTTGATACATTTCCTTATGATTAAATGGAGAAAAACAAAATTTCCAACACGCTGAATCCTACCTTTGCATTGTTCTTAAGTTTTTGCGGATACTCTGAAGCTCTGAGTCTACATTCGCCACGTGTCAAATTTGCGATCCGTGGAGACCACCGGATCTCTCAAAACAACGTACTTATCATTCGCTGGTAAAAATTTAAAAAAGCGCACCTCAGGGCCTGACGTCACAAAATCTATAGTTCATCACCCACCCTGGGCCATATTTAAGGAGTTTCATTTTTTTTTCCAAAAAAATATGATCGATATATTCATGCAATTTTCTGGTAGGAAGGATCTAAGAGCCATAAAATTACACTGAAAAAAAAGTGCTTGGCTTAAGCCTGATAGTTCTTGAATTTGCCGCCAAGAATTCGTTGTATCTTGATTTAAGCTGAATTTTTCTTGATACAAGCAAAATAATGCTTGGGTTAAGCGAAAAAGTAGCTTCTATTAAACTGCAAAATTCTTGATTTAAGAAAAAATACTTCTTGGCGGCAAATTTAAGATTCTTTTTTTTCAGTGTAAAATTAAGATTTTGCTACCTTCGAAGGAGGATTTGCGGCTTAAAAGACGGGGACCAGATTTTACGCTCGGATGTTCGGGTTAGGGGGTTATTTTTTTTAGCTTTTGTTCCCGTAGAGAACAGACATGCAATTGGCCAAAAACGTCCTGACTATATATTTCTGCCCATTTTTTTAACCTTGTCGCACGTATTTGTACAATGTATTTCTTCTGTATATTTTATCAACTGATTATAGCAATTGCCTCATTTTAGAAAAGGGAGGAGTCCCTTTTTCCCGAATGCAACCGCAGTTTTTCCTTGATTTTATCCGATAAGACCACTTCTCTCCCTATCCCCATGTTGCCCTGGATATGAATTCGTAATATACTCGTACTCACTGTGTCAGCAACTATCCAAGGGTTATTTCACTCGCTGGGGTAGTTTCAACGAATTAAATTCACCAAAAATCAACTATCCCAAACCACCGGGTGACGAAAGCAAACGCGCGTTAAGGCCCACAACAACAATGACGGATTAAATATTGTCGCTATGATAAATCCTATCGCGATCAAGCGTTTGCATCGATTGGTTCTCAAACCAGCCACATGATTGTCACGTCGTGCCCAGAAATCCGCTAAAAAAAAGACTGCAAGTGCAGGTCTATGCTGCCGTGCTAAGGAAAAACGCCGTATGAACCTTCAGGCGTTGTCAAATTTCGATTAATAAAGCATTAATGTCCTGGTAAACCTATGGATTTCCTTCTTCCGATTTTTCAGATAATATCGTTCGCAATTTCACCTAAACTTCCTGAAAATTTCAAGGAAATATTTTTATAACCTCCCTCAAAAATAGACATTTTATTGAAGGGAATTTGGCAACTTTTGAATTTTTACACGGCGTTTTTCCTTAACACGGCAGGACTGCATTTTGGAGAGGTCCATAAATTTTCGCGTTCCTACATAGCAGGAAGTCCCATTCAACGATCATTTTGTTGCCGATGAGAATGTTTTTGGGCGTGACCGAATCATCGGAGATTGGACCACGATTGTACAAAACTAAATTTTATTGAGGTTCACTGACTGTATGGCCTCTTCCGGGTCGAATGTTGAATCCTGCACGGAGAAAAAAACCTCGTGAAAAACAAGGTCCGATTACATATTTCCTATCTTCGGCTCTGTTGCTCACGTAGCCCTTGGAGCACCACTGCAACTCAGACAAACGACACCAACACAATATGGAAATAGAGTAAGGGAAATGATGCGCTTTGACGACGGCGCAGAGATACAACTATTCGTACTCGATGGATGTCCATGTTGCGTCTGCAAAATTGAAGGCGCGATGACGCGAGGCATGAACTCGCAATGCTTTTCTCTATGCTTCTCTATGCTGAGGTGTCGTTCAGATTTGGGTGAAATTCAAAACAAGGCCGTATTACGTCTTATTTCCTATCTTCGGCTGTTGTGCCCACGTATCCCTTGAGGTACCACTGCAACTGAGACAACAAAAGCAACATAATATGGAAATAGAGTAAGGGAGAGGATGCGCTTTGACGACGGCGCAGAGATACAACTATTCGTGCTTGAGAAAAAAACTTCGTGCGTGGGACCCGAAGTTTAGGCCATATGGATATCTGAAGTTTTCGGAATGAGCATCCGAACACATAAGGTCCAGCTGCTGAGGTTCGGATCACACATCTGAAACTTCAGTACCTACATCTGAAGTACTTCAGATGTGAGAACCGAAGTTTTTCGGATGTGAGAACCGAAGTTTTCCGGATGTGAAAACCGAAGTACTTCAGACGTAAGAACTGAAGTTTCAGATGTGTGATCCAAACCTTAGCAGCTGGACCTTAAGTGTTCGGATGCTCATTCCGAAAACTTCAGATATCCATATGGCCTAAACTTCGGGTCCCACGCACGAAGTTTCTTTCTCCGTGTGATGGTGCGAGCAGGGTGTAGCAATTTTAATGATATTTTTATTAATGTCCCTGGAAAAAAGTCGCTTGGATCTAGAGTCCAGACTCTTAAAAACATTGACAAGAAAATAAAACTTGTATCGGACCGGTTCACACGAGCTTCAGAAGTTCAGATGCGGGTTTGCAAATCCAACCTTAAAAATAAATCAGACGTGAACCTGAAAAAAAAGGAATAATCGAGTATCAATACAGTCGAGGACAGGAGAAACGTACTCGGGCCTTTTTTTTAAACTTGTCTCCCGAATCCGAGCGACACCTAATTGGCAGCATAGAGGAGAGCACTGCGAATTCACGCCTCGCGCCATCGCGCCTTCAATTTTGCGGACGCAACACGGACATCCATCAAGCACGAATAGTTGTATCTCTGCGCCGTCGTCAAAGCGCATCCTCTCCCTTACTCCATTTCCATATCATGTTGCTTTTGTTGTCTCAGTTGCAGTGGTACCTCAAGGGATACGTGGGCACAACATCCGAAGATAGGAAATAAGACGTAATACGGCCTTGTTTTGAAACTTTTCACTCGAATCTGAACGACACCTCAGCATAGAGAAGCATAGAGAAAAGCATTGCGAGTTCATGCCTCGCGTCATCGCGCCTTCAATTTTGCAGACGCAATATGGACATCCATCAAGTACGAATAGTTGTATCTCTGCGCCGTCGTCAAAGCGCATTATTTCCCTTACTCTATTTCCATATTGTGTTGGTTCCGTTTGTCTGAGTTGCAGTGGTGCTCCAAGGGCTACGTGAGCAACAGAGCCGAAGATAGGAAATATGTAATCCGACCTTGTTTTTCAACTTTTCTCCCTGATTTCACTAGCAGCATAGAGTAAAGCATTTTTCAGTTTACGCCTCACGACTCACGCCATCGCGCCTTAAAGTTTTCTTGTACAAAATAGACATCCATGTTGCACGCATAGTTGTATCGCGTTTACGTATATCTTATTTTTGAACTTTGAGATCAGATACGGTTAAGTTTGCTCAAAATATGCAAGGGTTTGTCCAAATCAATAGTCATTTTAAAAGGGAAAAATTATGTTCAAAGGTCTTTCGACCGAGGAAACCTAAAACTCACCTAGAATCGATGCATTCAATGGCTTTAAACGGAGTTTAAGTTGTCACTTGTCGGCTTGTCACTCTGCTCTCTGCTAAGTTGTCGGCTTGTCACTCATCGCATTGGCCAAGAGTTATTTTGTAATTAGAGATCCTTCGAGAGTAATTGAAATTTTTTCGTTTTATAGCCATCCAAATATAAAGATAGAAACTCGTAGTTCTCTCCAAAATTCTTCAAAATGTAAATGATCAATAAGTATCACCGTGAGATAAAATGATAAGTAGAGTTTCTTTAGGCGCAGTGGCCTCGTTTCATGTCAAAAATTTACAGTGAATCTTGAACTCCAGAAAACTCGTTCGATGTCTTGATACTCTGACCTATACACTGAAAAAAAATTCTCGGCGTTTTTATCAAGGTCTATTGGTACCTTTATCATCTCACTTTTTTATCAATTATTGGTAATTTTACCAAGACAGACTGGCAAACTTACCTAAAAACCGGTATTTTTACTGTTTTTTCAGGTAAGAATACCACTTTTATTGTTAATCAATTCCCGGTAACTTCGCCATTTTACCGCGGTAATTCTACCACAATCGATAAAAAATATTGGCGTTTTTACCAAGGTCCAGTAAAATTATCGAGAAAGTCCGATCATTTTACCGAGATTTCTCGGTAAAATTACCAATTCCATGAATGGTAATTTTACCAAGAAAAAATGAGGATCAAATAGAACCCTGAATTCTTGGTAATTTCACCCTTTCCTTCGTAAATACACCGATATTTTTTTTCAGTGTTCGATGTCTTGATACTCTGACCTATAGATTCACCGTAGATGAATGGAAAACAGTGTTGCCAATTTTCGAATATATGTGCCATTGCGAGTAGAATTTCCTGGCCGAATATCAAAGACGGCAGTAGGAGGGATAGACGCGGGGGTGAATTCTGAGGGGCGTGCGGGAGTGTGCGAATGGGGGTTGATATCACTCGCCGAGATATGAGAAGCAATTGACATTAATGAACTCTCAGCTGACTCATAATTCATCGCGATTTAGAATCGAGTTAAAAATACCAATCTCCTCGGCTCTCGACCGTTGCCAGTTCTCGAGGGGAAAATAAAACTCTCATCACCGTGAAGATCATCACCGGGGGTCCGCCCCCTGACTCGTGCAACCCTCAAGAAACGCTTCGCGCACTCCTGTTTTTAATTTTCACGAGAAGTTTCATTTTTCTATTCGGGGATTTTATGCCGTTTCCTATAATACCGTTCAACGATAGGCTTTAAAATGTCTATGAAGAACCATATCTAATGTCCTAAAGGACAAAAAGTGAACAGTATGGTCAATTTCAGCCGAAATGTGCATCGGTAGTATGTCAACATTGACATGACTAATTTTCTTTCATAAAACTCTTCAAAGGCATTAAGGTTTAATAATTATCTTTAGTCACCATAAAAATAAATGCAATCTGCAAAATTACAATAAATTGGATCGCATTTGGCAAAAAGGAACCAGCGTGATCGCAGTGTTGTAAAAATGTTGCTTCTTCATAATCATCTAAGAAATCTACCAACTGATGCAACAAAGATGCGTTTTGACGACGGCGCAGAGATACAACTATTCGTGCTTGATGGATGTCCATGTTGCGTCTGCAAAATTGAAGGCGCGATGACGCGAGGCGGGAACTCGCAATGCTTTTCTCTATGCTGCCACTGAGGTGTCGTTCAGATTCGGGTGAAAAGTTTCAAAACAAGGCCGTATTACATCTTATTTCCTATCTTCGGCTGTTATGCCCACGTATCCCTTGAGGCACCACTGCAACTGAGACAACGAAAGCAACATAATATGGAAATAGAGTAAGGGAGAGGATGCGCTTTGATGACGGCGCAGAGATACAACTATTCGTGCTTGATGGATGTCCGTGTTGCGTCTGCAAAATTGAAGGCGCGATGACGTGAGGCGTGAATTCGCAGTGCTCTCCTCATGCTGCCAATGAGGTGTCGCTCGGATTCGGGAGACAAGTTTAAAAAAAAGGCCCGAGTACGTTTCTCCTGTCCTCGACTGTATTGATACTCGATTATTCCTTTTTTTTTCAGGTTCACGTCTGCAGAATCGCAGATAGTTCTGGCTTTCCACCAAAACATCGTTAATTTTAAAGGAAAATAATCGTGTAGATTCGAAAAGAGTACATACTTTTGTAAGGTTTTTTTGAAAGAAAATTAGAAGTTGCACGATTTTGAAAACACCGTAACCGCACTGTTTCCTTTTTGCTAAATGCGATCCTATTTAAATTCAGACTTTCCCTATGCGCGTATCTTGATTTTAAGCCATTTTCTCGAAAAAACCACTCGTTTTTTCCGACCTGCCGGCCGGTTATTGAATTTAATACAAAACTATAGACAAAGGGGACAAAAGGGATATGGAGGGACTCTATTGGTAGACGGTGGTGGTTGCAATGGACAAAGAAGGTACGTAGTAGACTTACGCCCGTGTCCCACGATCAAATGAACGCATCAAAT